AACATCCTCTTTTATATAAATTTGAAACTAAAACCATCAAGAATCAATAGCTTTACCATTAGGGATGATGATTTGCCCCGACCCGGTAGGGAACCCGGTTCACCCGACCCGAACGGGGACTGGAATTCCCCCGCTAAAACGGGTCCCGGGACCGGGGATCCCCTGTAGACTCAAATCAGGGTCGGGGAATGTTACTCAAACCGAGGCTGGGGCCGGAGATCCCCGTTAGAATCAAACTAAATGATATTATTTATGGGGTTTGACCGGTGATTGCTAAAGGTTTGACCGGGGATGAGATGTTAATCCCTGTACCTGCCGGGGACTAGGCTGGGGGATGTTACTACAAACCGAGGTTGGGGATTACAAAACCCGCCCCATCCCTTCCCGTTGTCATGCCTATTTACTATATTGCAAATAAATGATTAAAACTTAATCTATAACTTCTTTAACCAACAATGACATAGAAAATAACGTCATTGAACAAAGATTTAACTTACTAATCAAAACCTTATGAACCCTAACATGAACTTTCCCAACTTTAACACAAATCAACAATTTAAACCACAAAACTTGAAATTTATAGATTCATACCTTGCTTCTTTACATTCTCTTCAATCAATTAGCTTTAAATCTTCAAAATATCACCAAATTACTAGATGCATGAGAAGATTATAACCAAATCTAGGGTTTATGTGAAGAGATGATTTTAGGTCTAGAGAGAAAAGTGCAAGATGCAAACGAGGGTTTAAATAGCTAGTACAAGAATTCTCACTTATCAAATATTACTCCTCATCAATTGTCTAATTCAATATTAATTCTTACATGGATTTTTCTTAACATTTCTAGTCCTAAAACCAATTTATTTTCTACATAATTAACCCTTTACATAAAACTTTGGACTTACATTATTAGTCCAAAATACAACTACTTTAAGCAAGGGTACAAGTAGATAAAGCATCCAATTGTTATGAAATGAATATACCAAGATTAATCGATAACAAAATCTAGGCTGTTATACAAACTTTC